TGGTTCCTTCATAATATCTTTCTGTCTGTTCTTAAACAATCTTAATCTTTTCCTTGACTTTTCATAACACCTTACATCACAAAACACACCTCTGTTTCGGTCCATCGACCAATCAGAGAGTTCTCAAATGAACCGGAAGTGAGCTTCTTTAAATGTTGGAACTTCCTAGTTCAAACTAGAGTTTTTAGAGTTCAGGAGAGAAGTTCGAGTTCAGCTCAGTCTTGAAGCTGCTGTAAGATCAGTCTTGAAGATGGAGTAGCAGTTCCAGCGAGTTTGGAGTTCCAGAGAGTTTGGAGTTCCAGAATGCAGAATGCTGGAATTCAGGATGCTGCTGAAAGAGAATCAAGCTGAACCAGAGACGATTTGGGAATTATAACTTCTGTTTGGATAACCTCACGACTCCAGAGGTTTTTAGCTGTTCTCACGGAGACGCTGAAAGAGTTGAAAGGAGAGCTCTACACCAACGCTGAAACTATCGTCTGCAAGGTAAAAAGTTCGATCTCAACCGAGCGTACCGTTGGGCCAAGCTGATTTCCAAAGGAGCGTGCTGTTCTGGTTAAAACAGACAAATTCCCTCACACATCTCTCTGTAGATAAACCTCATCTTTCCATCTTTAAACTCTCCTATCTGCTAGCAAATTAATCCAGATGTTTTTCAGAAATGTCTGTGGTGAAGCAACGGAAAATCATGGCCGTATGGTTTTCTTGGTTGTAAAGCTGATTAATTATGTCGTTATTTTCAATTTTGCCAATTAATGTAAATGTATGATGTGTTAAACTTGATTCTGTTAATAAATGACCCACTCGTTTGGTGAGTCAAAGATAATTAACGTCTCACGTCCACCTTTTATTAAATTCAATGCACGCATGTTATACAGTCCAGAAAAATGAAAGAACCCGTTTAATTGATGAATATATCTCAGGATATGTCATACTACAAAATAAATAATAACCAAATAACCCTTTCTGGATTCTTCACAGAACAAAATTCAGGAAGTAAATAACACTATTTATGAAATAAATAATAACCAAATAACCCTCTCTGGGGTATTGACAGAGAGGGTTGTTATGATTATATTTTTTATAGTCAGAATGACTCATTCAAGTCAGAAAAGTGAGCTTACCTTTGTATGTTCATCAATGTGAACTGTGGGCCTGTATCTGGCTGGTGAGAAGTTGAATCTCAGGTTCCATTCTAGTCACTGCCAGTCTCAAACACTGATGCAGGTGTTCATCTGTCAATCTTGATCTCATTGGAGTTTTCAGCAGTTTCATGCGTGAAAAGGTTTGCTCGCAAATATATGTGCTGCCAAAAAGTGTGGACATCTTCCTTGCGTGTTTTCTGATGTTAGGGTACGTGTCGTTTGGGAGGGCGGCATAGAAGTCAATGAGACCGTTGGGCTTAAACGCGTCTTTCAGAACATCACAGTTCTGTAACTCGGCCAACTCAAACTGATAAGAAGGCTGGGCTTCGTCAATGTCGGCAACAAAGGGGTTCTGGAAAAGACGGATTTCTTTTGCATAAACATCTAGTTCACGGAATCGTGCACCGAACTCCGCCTTCAGCATTTCCAGTGCTTCCACACACTTTTCAGCTGGAAACGGGACCGCTGGGTTCTCTGCAGAGAGGTTTTGTGTAGCAGGGAGATGGACGAAGCTGTGCTATTTCACGTGTCCCAAAAGCAGCTCTAGTTTCACCTCAAATGCTTTTATGTGGGAATACATTTCGCAAATGAGTTTCCCCTGGCCTTGTAGCTGCAAGTTAAAGCTGTTCAGCATTTCTGTCATGTCTGTTAAAAATGTGAGGTGCCATTTCCATTCTATGTCAATCAACTCTGGCACCATTTTGTTTTGTGAATGAAGAAATGCGTTAATTTGAGGTATCAGCTCGTAAAAACGCCTCAAAACTCTGCCCCAGCTCAACCATCGGACCTCTGTGTAGTACAGCACATCGCCGTGCACAGATTCCAGTTCAGACAGGAATTCTTGGAACTGCCTGTGTTTAAGTCCCTTTGCTCTGATGAAGTTTATGCATGACACCACAACCTTCATGACAGAATCCCAAGTCAACACTTTGTAGCACAGTGCTTGCTGGTGAATTAGGCAGTGGACTTTTAGCGGGGCGGTGAGACCTCGTTCTTCCATCTCCCGGTTCATGCGTCCTATTAGACCCCGAGACATGCCCCCACCATATTAGGAGCCCCATCAGTTGTGATGCTGGCCAGCTTTGACCAGTCCAGGTCCAACTCTTCCATGGTTTGGTACACTTTGCCGAAAATATCCTCCCCCGTCGTAGTCCCTTTGAGACTTTGGAGGGCTGCCAGCTCCTCGCAGATCTCAAAGTTTGCACTAACTCCACGAACAAAAATGAGCAGTTGCGCGGTGTCCTGCACGTCCGTGCTCTCATCCAGTGCTAATGAAAAAAATTCAAATTCTTTCGTCTTCTGCTGCAGCTGGGCATATACATTACCCCCGATTTCTTCAATGCGTGATTGTACTCGCTGATAGACTCACGGCATTAAAGACATCTTTCTTCTCAGGACACACCTTCTCCGCAACAGCGTTCATGCATTTCTTGACAAACTCTCCATCAGTGAAAGGTTTACCGCTGCTTGCTATCAGTTGAGCAACCCGAAAGCTGGCCCGAACAGATGACTAGTTCAGCTGAGCTTGGTGTACAAATGTATTCTGCTGAGCTAACAGTCCACTTTTTAGCTTTGAGAGTTGGTCTGCTCGCATTCGGCCTTGCAAGCTAGCATACTTGTCTTTGTGGCGGGATTCATAGTGTCGCCGCAGATTATATTCTTTGAATACTGCCACCGCCTCTTGACAGATGAAACAGACAGCCTTTTCTTTGCATTGAACAAAAAAATAATCGTTTGTCCACTGCAGGTTAAATGCCCTGCATTCTGAATAAATTTTTCTCTTACCTAATCTTTTCGCCATTATTCCGTTCTCTCTTTGCGAGGGGCGGGTTTAGAATTTTTTTTCTGGGTGTTGCCAGATAGGGGCACAGACCACAGAAGGGTGGAACAGAATGTCACGTTATATGCGTGTATGAAATAGTTACTAACTTATGTTTTATAGTATTATATTACTCAATAATGAAAATAGTTCATAACTAAGAAACATTTTATTGCAAAAGTCCAACTTTATTATCAAATACAAATACATATATATGAAAAAAAATCTAAACGCTCTCTGGTATTGTTCAGGGGGCCGGACCAAATGTGGACGGGGGCTGGATCTGGCCCGCGGGCCGTAGTTTGGGGACCACTGCTCTAGATCATTTTTAATGACTCTGTGTAGTTTGCTATAATTTGCTTCATAGAGGTTCTGTAGAGATGGGGGTATATGGATACCAAGATAACTAATACCATCCTTGTGCCACTTAAATCTGCTCTGTAATTTTGTGGTGTCTGAGACTGTGCAGCTTACATCCATAGCTTCTGTTTTATTTATATTTACCTTGTAGCCTGAGTAAAATCCATATTGTGAAATGAGTTCTTTTAAGTATGGGATTGTTGATGTGGGCTCTGTTAGGTACAATAATGGCAATTATTTTTAACATGCATGTTAGGCTGATTGGTAACTCTAAATTGTCCCTAGGTGTGAGTGAGAGAGTGAATGGTTGTTTGTCTGTATGTGGCCCTGTGATTGACTGGAGACCTGTCCAGGGTGTACCCCACCCCTCGCACAACGATAGCTGGGTATGGGCACCAGTGACCCCCGTGACCCAAAATGGAAGAAGCAGGTAAAAGATAATGGATGGATGGATATCGGCATATTGGATATCACTCAAAAATCTAATATCGTGCATCCCAAATTTTTTTTTTAAACCCTCCAGCCCACCGGATCTTTCAGAGCCGGTAGCTGAAAATGAGGCCTTGTTTTCAGTCAAAGCTACACGTGTCGCTCACTTTTTTATTAATCATTTTTTATTTTATTATTATTTTACTTCTACTTTTGCACAATGCCAGTTTCTGTTTTGTGTTTTGCTTGTACTGACCCGGATATACTGTGGGGGCACAGTGCACTCGCTAATGACATCCTGCTTTGGGGGAAACCAACGGGAGCCAGCGGCTTTGGAGTGGCAGATTCTGCAGCCTGCATGCATGTGAAGCAGCTTTGTAGTAATGAATGTTTACTTGTGCAACACGCACGTGTGTTTTTGCTCTTTACGTCCAAACTAAAACAATTTTGTTGGATGAGAGGTAGGACTGAGAGAAGGTTCTGCCCTTACGGTGAGTTGAATACACCTGTTGGAGTCAACGTCTCTCAAATGTAAACGCAGAGCACCACCTAGTGAGTTAATATAAACATCTAAAGCATAGGAATAGAGGTCAAAAGAAAAAAAACATTCCAGAGGAATGCATTACTGATGATACGATACAGATGGGATTAAAAGTTGTATTTATAATGCATTTCAATGTGGTCGATTTTTCCCTTAAGGAACATGATGGAAGTTAGTTACTGTGAGGTGAACATTTGGAAAATTGGAAAAATTGTGTTAGACTGCATCAAGGTAAATAAACAAACAAAAACACAAAAGTAGATGTGTGGCTGATCCCTCCCCACCCCCCAAAAAAGACAATGAAATTAGAACCAAAATATATATACAGTGAACCCTCGCTATAACGCGGTTCACCTTTCACGGTCTCGCTGCTTCATGGATTTGCATCGTGCATTGTGTTCTGCATTCTGATTGGCTAAACAGTCTCTCCAGTACAGTAGTTATTTGTAAAAAAACATTTATACAGTACTTTGATTTGTTAAACACATGCATGGGCCTATAAAAAGGTTTTGTTCTTTGGTTTGAATGTATTATGGAGTATTTCAGTGTATAATAATTGTAAAAAAAATAAAGGTTACTACTTCACGGATTTCACCTAACACGGGTTCTTTTTGGCACGTAACCCCTGTGAAAAACGAGGGTTCACTGTATGTGATTTAGATGAATAAAAAAAAAAAGAAATAAACAGTGAGACGTATCCTCCCACCTTTCCACTGTACTGAGGTAGCTCCAGCCATCATGCCCCCCCACTGCATACATGGGCCCCTCTAGCACAGCCACACCTGCAATGACAACCAGGTGCTCAGGATTAAACCGTGGCCGCTCCTCAAAACAATCCACACAGACAAGCTCTTCATCCTCACACCTTTATGACAACCGTTGAGTTTCTATTGTGAGCTCACAACCAAATCTGGGGCGTGAGGCGTGCAGAGTTAGCAGCGTGATGACACTCTCATACAGCCTGGATTTATCTGTCTGAACATCTGTGCAGCCAGATGTGTGGTGTGCATCCCTCACCTTCCACACACACGCATTTACAAGCACGTAGAAGCCAAACAGCACGCCTTATAAAACTGTCCCAACCGGAACCAAGCTTTTATTAGCTTGTAATGTGAGTTTATTATCCAAATCGTCATGAAACAGGTGCTAACCTAAACCGTGCCTGTGTGTGGACATGGGAGGCATGACGCTCCAGGACTTGCTGTGTGGATTGTAGCATTCCACAGTGTTGAGGGTCTTGAGTCCGTCTCTGCCTCCAACCACATAAAGACGACCATCGAGGACAGCTACACCAAACTGTAGTCTTCGTCCGCTCATGGTGGCCACCTGCCTCCACGTGTCCCGGCGCAGACAGTACTGCTCGATACTCGTGGCACCTGAAGAAAAAAACACGTAGACACAAAAGATAAGCAAATATTTGCTCACTAGAAAACATTCTGATACAAAATATCTGTTTTGTCCAGAATGTCTATATTTTTATCATTTATAAGAGATATAACACCAAACCAAACGGAAGCGGTTAAACCAGGTGAAAACTATTAAATACTTAAAACAGGCTGCAGAATCTGCCAGTAAGAGAACAGTCTGTTCAGTCAGCTATCTGTTATCTGTCTGATTCACAAGGCAAATAAAACGGCTTCAAGCCGCAAGTTTAAATTGTATGGCACATAAATATGAGCAAAGCTCTTTGTTTATCTGTCAGTCTACCCTCACCTCTGGTCGTGAATTTTGGGTAGTGATCAATAGAACGAGATTTCCGATTTAGACGGTCAAAACGAGTTTTAAAATTAAATGTTTTTATTCTCTTGTTACTAATATCTATAATAATGAGTAGGTTTTCTATTTAAATACTTCAATTAAAACCTCATTTAATGTAAGTATTTAAGAAACTACATCTGCACAAAGACATTTTTTGTGGCAGCGCACTTTGAGGTGCACATCTCCCTTTGTGGGGGGCTACGAAAATGAGATCTTTGGTTTTCTCCTGTTTTACAAAAACTGTGTAATCCCGTAGTGAATCACACCCAGAGAATCCTAATTTTAACACTGCGAGGAGGAATCGTGCTACCTTTTGTGGCGTCCATACCCCCGACAGCAAACATGGCCCCTACGGTGGCCTTGCGGGGCCGGGTGCGAGGACTCTGAAGCAGAGGCCGCCGCTGGGGCAAAAGATGATACTTCATCCCCTCCATCAGGAGTCGCTGACACTCCACACTGTCACAAAGGAGGGGGTTGGACTCCAGGTCTGCCAAGAACTAAACACACACAAAAACAAAGCACAAATCAACATGCGGGATCACATGACAGTCAGCGCTGAAACAAGTGAAAGGTGCATGAGATGGACGTGAGCATGAGTCGTTACCATGTTGTCACTAATAGACACGGGTCGAGAGTCTAAAGTAAGCTGCTCTCTCATCGATCGAGAGATTAGATCACAGACATACAGATCATCTGACACACTGGAGCACTAATCTGTCCTCAACAACTCATCAGCCCTGTAGTCCAGGCCCTCATTACACACCCATATAAAGAAGCACAAACATCCAGCTTCTTCAATCCACCACACCGTTCCCTAAAAACATACATCCAGAGGAATCGGCTGCCTGTGAGAGACGAGTTCTCCCTGAAGGCAGGAAATACTTGATTTACATTTAGATAGCTGTGTGTTTGTGTGTGCCAAGAAATGGCAGGCAGTAAAGGAGTTTCTTGAAGTTTAGGCAATTTCACGTCTTCATTTTTGTGTGTGTATGTAACTCTTTATTTGCTGGATCAAGCTACATTTGGAGATTTCTTTAAAAAAAAAAAAAAAAAAGAGAGAGAGAGAGAGAGAGCAAACAAAAAGGAAAATATAAGTTAAAGAGTGCTTTCCTCCATAATTTCACAGTTAAAATAGAAGCTTTGGCCCAAATCACTACACTTGGCCACTGAGTATTAAATTTAATTTCACAGCCAGCAGTGCATCGAGCACAAAACAAGCATGGTAAATGGATAAGCAGCTTACATGCCGGGGTCAAATCGTATTTCTACAGGCTACACAGACAGACAAATTAAAGTGAAACCAATTCCCGCACTTATTTGAGTGTGAGCAGCTGCCAAAGGAGGACAGATACAGAAAGGCATGTTTGTCCTTCTGGTAATGTTTTCATCATGCTGTGAAGGATTGAATGTGGAGGACAAGATAAGACTGAATCCTGCACACACCCCACCTCCTCCTCCTCCTCTTCCTCTCGGTCGTCTCCTTACCTCGCAGTGTGCAGAAGGAAAGCTCTGTTATTCTTCGCCTCAGCTCACACATGAGGACACAGCCATGCACTCACAACAAACACACAAGCTCTAACACACACGTCCCCCAGCTATGTACATTTTTCATGCTTTAGGTCTCTCAGCTTTTTATTGCCAGACACGTTCAAAACAAAACACCCACAAACTAAAACAACAAATCATCGTTATTTATGTCACACAACATGGCTGATCAGGCAAAAATGTTATGATCGTGCTGCTAAAAAGATTTAAACCATTAAAATCTGTGTAAATAAACACAAAGTATAACTGATAGTAATGCTAAAATTGATAAAATGGGGTACTAGGAACCAGTCTAAAAAGGTTTGAAGTAAGTTTTTTTTAATGATAGCTGAAATTCACTTTAATCTTATCTGCGCTCAGACTAGCCTTTAGCTCATGAACCAGGTCCGACTCGAACTCTTTCTCCAAACTGAGGTTGGCACAGAGCTGTCTGCAACAAGTAAAATGGTTCATAACCTTTTCCCAAAACCACACTTGAAAAAAATCCAAACTGCTGTTCTAACTTTCACACAAAACATAAATGAACACTCGTTAACAAGACATTTACCTACAAAACCTCCTTCTTCCACCTGCGTAATATCACTAAAATTAATAACATCTTATCTAAAAATGATGCAGAAAAACTGGTTCATGCATTTGTCACGTCTAGACTGGACTATTGCAATGGTTTATTATTTGGATGTCCAAATACTTCTTTAAAACGTCTTCAGTTGATCCAAAATTTTGCTGCCAGAGTCTTAACTGGAGTTAGTGGGAGAGATCATATCTCTCCAGTTTTAGCTTCTCTCCATTGGCTCCCTGTCAAATCCAGAATAAATTCAAAATCTTACTTCTAACCTACAAAGCTCTCAACAACCTAGCTCCATCTTATATTAGAGATCTTATTGTTCCATATTTTCCTAAAAGAATACTTCACTCTCAGACTGCAGGCTTACTCGTGGCTCCTAGAGTTTCCAAAAACAGAATGAGAGGAAGATCTTTCAGTTATCAGGCTCCTCTCTTGTGGAACCAACTTCCAGTTTCTGTCCGTGAGGCTGACACATTGTCCAGTTTTAAAACTGGGATTAAGACTTTCCTTTTTGATAAATCCTATAGTTAGGATTGGCTTGTTATGCTGTCTTATGCTTAGACTACTGGAGAACAAATTGACCACATTTCCTTAAATTAATTGTTAAAATTGAATAGTTTTCATTTGATACTATTTCTTAAAAGTGATTCTCAACCTGCCATTGTGTATCTGTTCCTCTCAAACCCAGCCGGTCGAAGCAGATGGCCTCTTGTCCTGAGCCTGGTTCTGTTAAAGGTTTCTTCCTCATGAGGGAGATTTTCCTTTCCACCGTCGCCTTCATGCTTGCTCAAGAGGAGAGTCTGCGATGAAGTTAAACTCAAAGCAGTCTGTTCCTCAGATAAATAATGTTATTAACATATACATATATATATATATATATACATATACATATATA